TCGTGCGCACATGTGACACTAGTCGTCGTGCAATCTTTCCCATTTGTTTTAACAGATCGAATCAGCTGAACGGTTTGCGTTTTTTCAAAATACAAAAAAATAAAAGACAAAATTTTCAATACAAGCAGTTCCAGATCATTGCAATTTTTGGAATTTTCAAGCTGTAATTACAAAATAAATATAACTTCCGAGCGCTCAAAGTATTTGATAGGATTTGTAACCAGCGCAATTTCAAATCTGAATAGCTTTTATTTTTAGACAACTGCATTAGTATCCGTCCAGAAATGAGAATTTACTTCTTCATGGAACTGAGATTAGTCAAATATGGACGTGATATTTTTTGAAACAATTGACCAAGTTATTGTGACATTGTACAGAAGCCTCATACTCAAGAGCATTTTAGAATTGTCCAGGCTCGGCTGTCATTTAACCTTGGCTTGGTGGATACTCGTAGTTGAATTGGCTGAGCGAACAGGTTCATAATACTTCTTTATTCGCTAACGTTCCGGCGCTTTTGCCTTCTTCAGAGCTTGCAAGCCGAAATCATATGAAATTCGCCACGATTCCAACAAAAGACAAAATAGCATTTCATTTTCTCGCTTTTTGCATGTATTACAGTACCTTTTTCCTAATATCTCCAAATTCCTTTTAACCGAAAAATAATGAACATCTGAAATATTGTAAGCGTGTTCAATCTAACATAATCTAATCTGTTCAACAATCTAACATAGACTTCTTATCATCACCCTTTATTTCCAAGTTTAGTTCGTAGTAGAAGGATACAGAATTTGCAAAACACTCTCGCCTGTATACTTGTTCATGATTCGGCATAGCTCTTCTGTAATGCTTTCCTTTTCAGTCTGTGTGCAAATGTTACATTAGCTAGAATCAATCAAGATATGGTGTTACAAGTTCTTATTACGCAGATCAATCACGAAGTTTTTATAAGATGACGTCCACGAAACGTATGAAACTCCAGAGTGGTTGACTAAGGACCTGAATTTGCAAATTTGTCATCTTACGGGCGTGGACTAGTCGTACAAGGAAGGATCACGAAGTTGAAGTGGCCGATCATAGCGAACCACATGTCATTAGTGAAAGCTCTGAGAGCTGATTTCAAACCCGCTCTTTCCAACTGCAGAGAGCTTTTAGAAGAGAAGTTATGAGCATTTTCTGGGTCGAAAATGAACTAATGGCCGGGATGAAGTCGATCGCCACAGCCTCTTGACTTTGAGTAAAACAGGCAAGTTTTATGATAGTTGATATCAAACTTTTTCAGTATAGTCTATCAGAAATTCTATCTCTCCATCCGACGTCTTAAAAGGGTTGTAACGATCGTTATCGTCTCGGCTGAAAGTTCATCTTTCCGCCTCCAAAAATGCCTATAGCTATTTTTTCCAAAGGCCCTCTGCAAGTAAGAAAAACGGATTTGAAATCAGCATTTGAAGCTCTTACTGGTGGTGTGCAGCTTGTAGTAATCGGCCACTTCGACTTCGTGACCCTCCCTTATCAGTACAGTACACACCTCGGCTTTACTTGAAACTGAGTTATAAAGAAGCATAACACCACAGTTGATGGCTTGTTTGTAAGAAAATACCTTGCGCAAAGCCTTTCTGAGTGCCTATGCGTTTACACGGATATCATATGCGGCAAGAAAAATTTAGCAGTGCCTGAAACCCTTATGTGAGGAAGTAAGTGCTTAAAAATTTTGTGATAGAAATTTTGTGACACATTTGACTCCAATCTTTGTGCTTATTGCTTTTGTCACAAAAGTGACAGCACTGGTTACAGGAAATAGTTTAGATTCCAAAGCCAAAGTCGCAAATGGAAAACAGGAAGAATGAAGGCCAAGGAACGCAGTCACACTGTAAATTATAATCTGATGCCGTTTTGGCCGATTTTGCTATATTTGTCTCATTGTTAGTAAAAAGAGGGCGTCTTGTATGCATGCACCGTTTAATTATTACATCTCCCTCACCACAATATTTTCCGCTGACCTTTAATAGAATATCCTCAAAGTTGGCTTCAAATTAGATCTAAAGTAGAAACTTTTAGCATGCAGCGCCAGTGTGAACTAGCTGCCGTATCAAAAAAATGAAAAATGCAAAAATCTGATGATGAGTTGTGATGCAGGGTCACAAAGAACATAACTGTTATTTAGGATTCTGTTTTGCTGGAACAAAATTCTCGATTTAACTGCGTAATTGATTTACCAATTCTACCGTTGAAACATCACAGAAAGACTAAAGATTCTTCGTCAGCAGCTGTGCAAGCGAGAGCATTAGCATAACTGTTTGAACAGCATAATCAACTATGCCACCGAAGGCAATGCCGATACATGTTCTTGAGACTATTGTACATACTGGGCAGATTTGAAGTGTGCTTCCTTTTTTCCTATCAATCTACTCATTTCCAATCCGATGTAAACAGTTTAGTCGAGATGGAGTGATCGTTTCTAAGGGTTTGAAAAAATACAATCCAATTTCTGATTAGCTTTTAGCTTTTTTAGCTACTGTGAAACGTCTCCTATCTTTTATTTGACTGATTAAGTTCAACTGCAAAAACACAAGGCTTACCTACTACTAGGTGCGGGATTACTACGTTTGATCTCAACACCTTCTCCTCACCATGAATTCCGTCACTCTGAGATTACGACAAGAATTTACGCTGTTTTTAGGCAGATGAAAAAAAAATCCATTAAGCTGGAAGCTTTTTCCTTTGCCTTTTTTTTCTCAATTCAATCAGTTTCACTTTGACATAGTAAGCAGATTTTAGATGAATAATTATATCTATAAACAGGTTTGAAAAAATGAAAATCCTGTTTTTCTAATGTTATTTATTTGGCGATTTCGGGTATCATTTCCCAGTGTTAACTTCAAATCAGATTCACAGCAAAAAGAGACCAGGAATTAACAAGAACTAAAGCGGTTTCTACGCAGATAAAAACCATTATTGTAAACTTCGAAAACTTCAAATATTAGGTCATTCCGAAAGTAATTTCGCATTTTTCAAGCGGGAGTCACATTTGATCGAACAAAGGTTTCTAAGAGATCTTAGAGGCATTCGATGCAGAATTTCATTCTCTTTCTAATGGTTATGAAATTGTTGCAAAAAAGTCAATGAGCTTTCAGAAAACAGCCAAGATCTGCAACCTATGCTTTTTGAAATAGTCAAGTTTCACAATTTTTCAAAATTTTTATACCCATCCTCAGAAGGAGTTCAAGTAAGGATTCGATAGAGTAAACCTTATAAATTACAGTACTATTTTTTTCTCTTTTCCATAGCTTATCATACATTTTTGACAGAATTTTAACTGAAGCTACCGATTTCCATACTTGGGCAGCTAAATCCTCTAGAATATCAAAAGAATAGCAGCTCGCGCAGTATTCGATGCAGCATTTTCTCCTCTTTCTAATAAGTGTTTTTGTTTCCGATTTGCTTTGTTTCTGGGGATAAAATCATCACAACTCATTTTTCTAGCAAGCCCCAGGCTGTACCCGAAAAACTCGAAATTTGATATTTCGAACCGTAAACCCTCAGTTGCTTTGTAAAATTAATGCTAACTCATAGTACCATTTGGTAGTCTCAAATTCCGAAAAATTATGATGTTTGATGCGATTGTGGCTGATGTGGGCCTGCCAAAATCCGACGGTTTTGTTTAAAAAATTTTTAAAAAATTACGGCGAGTATGAGAAAGAGAAAAAAGTAGTACTGTATTCTATAAGGCTTACTCTTCGAATCATTACTTGAATTCCTTCTGAGGATTGATATGAAAGTTTTAAAAAATCGTAAAACTTGACCATCTCAAAAAGCATGTGTCGCAAATTTTGGTTATTTTCTGAAAGCTCATTGACTATTTTGCAACAGTTTCATAACCATTAGAAAGAGAATGAATTTCTGCATCGAATTCTTCCAAGATCTCTTAGAAATCTTTGTTCGATCAAATGTTGCGTCCGTTTGAAAAAAGCGAAATTACTTTCGGAATGACCTAATATATTTTCTTCGCTCAAAACGCATTTACACAACTTGCAGAGTGTTTGAACTCTACATACCTTCTGAATCCTCAGATAAAGAAGTTTTCTCAAATGGCAGTCAACTTATGATAAAGTGAATGTGTTCAAAGTCTGAATGAAAACTGTCGAATTTTGTGCACATCAACATCTCTTTAGAAACACTTTATTTACATATGTCTTGATCGGTCACACCAAGAAAATGATTCCCTAAAATGCTGTTGTGTTGTGCTGTGATGTCGTGAATCTGGGATGAGCGAAGTTTTCAGGAAGAGCAGAGGAAGGAGCACGATTTGCCACACTGAGCAATTCGTTCAGCCTTAGAGTAGTAATCGTTTGTGCAGAATCCGTTCTTAGCCCATGTAGCACACCTTTAATATAAAATAAAGTAAGGAGGATTTGAAGCATTACCTCAGTCGAATAACTTACTGTTTACTCTTATCGGCGGAAGGGCATGGGGCTGCAAAATAAATGTTAGAAATAGGTACGATAATCTTGTAAAATTGAACTTACATGTCGTGACATGGGATCCTGGATATGTGGAAGATGCAGAGTTACAGTATCCGCAGGTTTTTTGGCAATTTACCTTAATTATAATTGTAGCTAGCTTACTCAATGCACTTAGTTTGATTTGCTCCATGAAATAAATACTGTAATCCTCTCGAAAAGTGGGAATACGCAAAGGTAACCGTTGCTTGAAAATAACATATTCGCACATAGAAATTACATTCTATGGCTAGCTAATGGTTCGAAAAGGTTCTTATGGGGAGGAAGGAGGAGAAAAACTTTCTTATAATAGTTTTAGAATGCTTCAGAAATTTCTTGCGACAGAAATTATCACTGAGGAAAAATTCAATTTTTTGCAAGCTTTGAGTATTTTCGACGAGCAACGCTAAAGTTTAGTTCGTGAAGAAGTTATAGTCAAAATTTATGGTAGTGTTCAGGTAATTAGGTAGACGACAAGCACTAAGCAAGAAATTAGGGAAAAATAATCAACACAGTTCTAGAAAATGACAAAAAAGCCAGATCATGTTAGGGGCAAATAAGTCCCGCATACAAATTCTCTTTCCAGTGCACATTATTAGTTTTCATTCAAGTTTCTTTCATTAGTTACGAAAAACTATTCTTCGGTTTAAAAAGATACTTTTGTCCGAGGAGAGTTTCAAAGAATGAAACCATTCGTAAATTTTCTCGAAAAAATAGAAAGCCTTGAATTTGTGTCAGACAATACTGTGCCTTCTGAGAATCAGACATAACGTTACCTTTACAAAATCTTGCATGTCGATGTTTCTGCAAATGGACAGATCGTTTTTGCATTCGATCACTGCGTCAATACATCCATCTAAGAAAAGGTATTGAGTGAACAAAATTTTGAGAAAAAAAATTACTTTTGACTCACTACTTTCAAGACAAAGTCCGCAAGTGTGGGGACAATCTTCGGCCAGAATCGGACGCCATTTAGGATCCTTGCATTGGTCGGGTTTGACAGTGTCACAATTCGTTCTTGGGACTAAAATCGTGAAAATTCAAATCTGCCAAAAACCAAGGAATTATGACGTACACTGCTTATTGACGCAGTCGTACTCAGGAGTTTGACAACAGTATCCACAATGTTTGGGGCATGATGCTACTGCCATGTTTTTCAATTCCTCATTAAAAGCGGAGCTAATCTAAGACGTAAAAGTCAGCAGGGTGCGATTGTGAAAAAGCAAAACTCATTTTACCATATTGCACTTAGGATCTCGTTTGTCATCACCGGCTTTAACAGCTGTACCAAAAAGATCTGCACACGTATCCGCAGAGTATTTATCATCACAATTCACGGAAGCTGCAGTGAGCTGAAATTAGTATTGAAACCGATAAGTAGTTCTGAATCTCATTCTATAAGGGGTAGGGAACGAATTTGCCATTTTGGCCGCCTCCACAGGCAACTGATCTTTTTGGGATGCTCTTGCAAGTCGTAGAGGTCCAGTTGTCCGTGGAGGCGGTTCGAAATGGCGGAGTTCTTTCCATAATTTTTTTGTAAGTAATTTTATACCATACCACGGTTTTAGCTGTAGCATTGACTTCGGTGCAGTTGAAATCAGGAGTGAAGTCGGCGTTGGACGGTGTAGCAAGACCAGCGAGGACAAATAGAACAAACAGCATTACCTTTCCCTAAAACGACAACGAAAACTATTTTATTCGATTTTGATTTGATTTTTAGCTTTGCCTGCTAGTTAAGGTTGAATGGTTTTAGAAGAAGAAGGTAAACAGCAACCTCCTTACACACCCAAAAACGATGCATATGACTAGTAATTTTCTAGGGACGATGAACTTGAAATTATGATGCCTAATCTCGATAGAGATGAAGAAATATGTAACGGGGCATAGGGTAAAAGGGCTCTGATTTTGATATGTCGATTTTGTTGACACTTTTATTAGATTCACAAAAAAAAATAAACAAGAAAAAATGACGTATACCCATGGTTGCTGGACCAGCCTCTGATCCCTGCTTATGTAGCGACTCATCTTCAATAGGCTAGCACTCACAGGAGCCTGAGCAAACCTGCGTGTTAATTTTCACGCTTGAACACCTGGTGTTAAATGAGTTTTTGGTCGTTTCGTAAAGTGACCAGTGTTTGGTCTGAACAATGGTTTTTTTATGTGGACAGATATAGCAAGCATTGCTCAATCACCCGTTCTTTGTCGGCAGAGATGTTTGCTTTTAGGAACAATGCCAACTTTCTCTTGCGTTTCTTCGTACATGTAATGCAAGTACTGCTGCTGTACACAAGTTACCTATACATTTCTGCGGAAAGAAAGCACTGCAGATAAAGACTTCATTACGATCATTCAAATATTTTCCTCATTATGACTCTATTCCCCAAAAATTTCCGTCCTCCTCATCACTTCGAGAATCTTTCATGATAGCTATGATATAACTTTACAACATCGACGTCCTATGTGGTACGCATCCAATCTGGAGCCCACCCACGAAATAAACATCGAGAAAGTTGGAGAGTTGCAGAAAGTTTTCTACGAGTTTGTCCTCTACAGACGTTTTTCCGGTCCTGACTACTTCCAATCCTTGCGTCTCACAGCTTCAGGCTTTCTATTGCGTTTGCATAGTCTGAAATAGGGACCACTATGCAATGACTCAGGCTGCTTTCGCATTAAGGGCCGGGCATACTTCATGCGATTTCAGTCGCATCGCGATTCACCAATATTCCCACTGTTCATAACTCATTCAAGCACATTTAAAATGTACAGAGGAGAGGGTCATTTTATCATTTCCCGAAAGTTAGATAATACGTGCAAAAACTCTTCAGAGTTTTGAGAGAAGTTAGGCTCAATCAACGCATTGCAGACCTTGCACACTGACGATCTCAAAGGATGTCTTTAAACTTTCTTCAAGGCACTTTGTAACTGCTAAATTTTGTTTCAAAATATTAATTCTTTTGTGAAACATTTGGAGTGCTGTTGTGACAAAACTTGGAAAAATCATCTGCCGTAATTCGTACGACTCTCTATCATTTGCGTTGTGAGGTCCACTTCACTTGCATCGGTTGAACTTGCGCTAGTTTTCTGTGTCTGCGTTAAGGGCTAGGCCATGCATCACCACCTCCTGTACTTTTTCCTGCACAAATACCTCGTTTCTGACAGAGCTATGTGCTTATATTTGAATGCTAAACCATGCATGTAGAATTAGTTCAAATAACGTTCTAGAATTTCCAGTCATTGGAAGGAAGTTTTAGCCATTTTACGTAGAATAGCCGTCCGAGGAGATCAAAGATCAGATTGAGCCCTCTTCCTAAAAGTCCGCCCTTCCGGCTCGAATCTGTGACGTCCACTGTGGCTGAGTTGGTCAGCCAAGCCTTGATGGCTTCTATCTGCATATCATTGCTCGAGCAAGGGAGCAGGATATCAGCAGATCGATCCTCGCTTTAGAAGAAAGAGAACTACCTGCACCTTCCAGCAAGGGACAGCCATTTACAAAACCTCACGTCTTTTGTTATTTCGTTTATGCAGTTGCGGTTATCCTCATTTCACGCTATAAAACGCACCTTTTTCGGTTTTCAAGCGTGTCGCTCAGCCGCCTCGTTATTCGGAAAACGAAACTTATGCTGCACTATACTCTTAGGCAATATGCAGTATGCATTTTGCCTAAGAGTATAGTGCAGCATAAGTTATATGCAGTACTGTAATAGTTTTTGGGTCGCAAAGTCCTTCGGTTCTGTGCTGTTTAATCTTAGAAAAAAAATTTCCTGCGTCCTGTAGCGTGAAATTAGGGTCATAAACAAACAAATTCAATAAAACTGTAAAAAATATTACTGTAGGGGGCTTCTATCAGGTGGCATTTGTATATTTGCATAAGAAAGACAGCAGTATTCCAAGCGAGTTACAGTACACATTGGTCAGGAGTAATCCGATCCTGTCATCACTTGGCCATTTTAAGCTTGAGCAAGACCGTGTTTGTTTTGCTGTGGATCTTTGGCTATTCAGAATTCATGGACACTGCTTTTCTTTTGAAAAATCAAAAAAAAGTGTTCGATACGCTATGATAATATTTTTCATGGCAAACTAACTTGCTATGATAATATTTTTCATGGCAAACTAAGGCACTGAAACAAAACAAGCCAAAGTACATAGTTGCTGATTAGCAGGGCTAAAAAGGAAACTGAAGAAGCATACCAAGCTCTGCTCAGTCTGCAGCGTAGAGATGACATTTAGAAACAAACGCCAAGGCAGAAGAATTAGGTTCAAAATAGTAGAATAAGGTGAGTTTGCACAGTTTAGTAGAATGACAAACCATCAAGCGAATGCATTCAAAAGAAGTTCCAGCAAGTTTCGGATCCGATTACAAAAAACCCCAAAAGTCGCTTGCAACAGAGAAAGCTAAAAAGAAGTGAATTTCAAGTGTTTTATGCTTTCGCAGAAATGTACATGATATCTCTATTGTTTCCATGTTGTGCTCCTGCAACAGCACATGAAGAAAGCTTTTTTGCTTCGTGCAAGTGAGATCAACAAACTTGTAGTGCAGTAGTGGTGTTTTGTTTAAAATTTTTAGTATGAACCAATCTTTCATGTGAATAGCCGCATCAAAAGTTCGAAGGCAGTGCCTCACCAAAATTTGGTTGTCGAGATCTTTGCACTGCAGGCCTTTTCGTCCCTGTCTAACTCAATGCGAGTCCAACCTAAAATGTACCAAAGCTTCGTTTTTTGAAAGCCTCGTGGAAGCAGGGCGAAAGAGGTGTCTTTTCAGCCTAGCCTTCGCATTTGCAGCAGCATTATGGAGGTGGACGCCAAGTGGAGGAACATGTTGAAACTCGTAAGGTGGGAACAGGGAGCGCGTCGGCCGTGCGAGCAAAATTGCGCTTCCGGGCCACTTTAAGGGTAGATTTCTCGGCATAGAAGGGCCCGAATCGAGTCGGATTCGAGGCAGCCACAAGGAATTTTTTGAAAAATATGTGGGAGCCGCACTACTTCAGTTTTGGTAAGATGCTGCCTTCAATGTTTCGTTGAGGCTGAGTTACACATCATCGTATGCTGATTTGCCTTGTTTGGCTCCTGTTCGAATTACTTAGTTTTCTCGTATAGTTTCACTATGCTTTTGTAGAGTGATTTGTGACGCATAAATTGCGGAAGAGTGTTCCATCCTACACTCTCAGAAATTCTACAATTTAAAATTTGCACTTTCTTCGCTTCAGCGTTAGGTGATACTTTGGTTTGAGACTCATGAAATTTTCTGTTTAGTTCCTTTCTCTTTATGCGCATTGACCACAACCGGGGAGTCGTCGACGATGCTTCGCAAATTCGCCTATGGATATCGCTCCATTTGCTGAATAACTGAGTTTAGACCAAAGGCGCAATCGGCACATGGACTTGATAATCATTTAAGGAAAAACTTTAAAGTTGTTGATCACATCCTTTTCTAAATATTATGGATAAGCTTCAATTTACAAGAGCGAGAATTGGATCCCTAAATTATTAGGTTGAACACTAAGTTTTAACTGGTTTCATAACTTCACTCTCACTCAACATGGGGCACTCAAACTTTGGCTCTATGTAGAATACATTTTCGTGCAATCGAATAACTATATGACAGCGTCACATTTTTGTTGCTATATCAGCAAATATCGTTTGCTGTTTAAGTTACCCATTACCCGGAGTCTTTCATTGTGTAATTCGAGTAAAATTTATTTGAATATTCGACATGCAAAGTATTCATTTAATCGAATTTTTTTCTCGAGTATATTCGATTATTCGAAAGTTTTTCATTTGAAAATATTCTATGTTTAATTGTTCGGCATTTTTGGTTTTCGAAAATATTCGATTTTCGAGTATTCGACATTCTTTTGACAATATTCGAAATGTGATAGTTTGACATCTTTGATTTTTGAATATATTCGATTATTCGAAAATTTCAAATATTCCAGAGTATGTTATACACGCGAACATAGAATTCTGAAGGCCTGCTAATTCGAGTGAAAGCCCTAGCATTTTTATAAATTTTTGGTGTCGGACAAAGTTTCAAAGATGTAATTTCTTCGCAACCTATTATCAAGCCAGTGATGATGGGTAGTACTCAAAGATCAGCATGTTCCGTAAAACCAGAGTCGCAAAGTTAAGCTACTTGTCTTTAATACCATACTGAGATTGTCTGATAGTTTTGTAGTGACACTGCGACACTTGATTATTTGAAGAATCAATCCATGATGTGGGTGCCGTCATCATAAAATCCAAAACTTATGCTTTCCTCAAACATTTACCAACTTTTTCTCTTAATCAAACATAGCCAGTCTGATCACGCAAGCGCCTTCATCATCAAAACTCACAAAAGCAAATTTTTTTAAACTTCATTTGCCACTACGGAGTTGATTCATCACTGCTCTAAGGTTTACCTATCATAAATCGCATAACATGTTTTTGTTAGTGAACACTTTCCTTGTAGTTTATGCGATAACTCATGTGACCTAAACGTACCATTTTGAAACAAATGCGTTTCTGAGAGCATCAAAAAATCGCAGAAAAACCCTAATGATTTGCACAATCCGTCATTGTTGATTTTTCAGCTGAGGTATTTAAGCATGACGCAAATATCATAGGCAAATCTGCCGCAGTTAGCAAGCAATCGTTTCGATCACAAAATCAGGTGCTGCTATTGCTGGCAACTGAGGTTTCTTTCCATAGGTTCAATTCATCTTGGCATTCATTAGGACCCTATACAAGGACATTTTCCAACTGCGTCGCTTTACATTCATTTCTTATTTTATATGCTTTGCTACACTAATTAGAAAATTCTTGAAATTATGGTTACAATACATCCGCTTTTCAGAATCTATGGCTCTCAAGACTACCTTTTTGGTACCTTTGCTAGCTTTCACTATCCAAAATGTCATCTCTCAAGGTATGCCTGGAGGACTTACGCCGCAAAATCCAAGCGATCCCTCATACATGGTATGCTTGAATTTGTTTCGTACTTTTGATAGTGGTATGTAGAGAACCAACATACCCAAAAAACTTGTGGAATCTTGTGGAAACAGCAAGTTGGCAGTTCCAGAAAAGTTTTTGGAGAGGGAGAGACAGAAATTTTTCGAATGGACGTGGCAATTACCACGATGTGGCGACGCTCATCTACTCGAAAAATTTTTGCAAAGCTATTTTAACTTTTTTCATGAAACGCTCTGGTCACTTCTTTTCCACTCGAAGTTCCGCGCCATATTTCTCACAAACACTTTCTTGGCCACATGATGCCATAATAATGTAGATATGCTTCACCTTCATGTATTGCGGGAATGGACCCGCACATGAAGTGTAGAACCCATGATGACAAGAGCCATGGCGTGATATTACAAAGCCACAGATAATTCGGTTTGCAAATCTAGGTAATTGCACAATGTGCATATGCTCCATTTATTTGATTATCTTGATGCTTGTATTAATGATGACTTTACAGGAAAGTGCATGGAAAGCAGCGAAGGATGTCAACGAGCGTGCCAGTAACAGCATGTATATGATGGTTCCCATAAAGGTGTGGTATGCGAGAATTGGCATCTTAGAGTCTTAGCATTAGCAGTTACAGTCCTATGCTCGTCCTTTTGATTTATCTAAGTTTATATCATAGGTGGTCCAGGTTCAAACTCAGGTTGTAGCAGGCATCAATCAAAATATGGAAATACTTTATGGTGATTCTACATGCAGAAGAGGAGTAAGTTTTTGTCTTACGCGGAGGTTCTGTTAGGCGGAATTTTGGGAAGGACTAAGCTCCATAGAGACGCAGGTGCTCTGAATTGGACAAGTTACGCGAAATTCAGATTTTTTGGTTTGCAGAACTAGGAAGGGGGAGGAGGCGGACGTGAAACTATTCATCTTGTCAAATGCTTGTCTTCGTGATTCGCTAAAATACGCAATTCTCGTTTTGAAAAACTAAGAAATATCTAAATCTGCTAGCTTATAGGAAAAGCAGAGTAATTAGCATCGTCCTGGGGCAAACTAATTAGCGCCAGGATGGAGCGGTGCAGAAGGCATACACCCCCTAAAACACAGTATTTTGAAAAGCGAAGCAATACCGCTTTTCCTCCTGATGAACAAAAGCCGGAAAGCACTGCGATAACATTTGTGGGAGGTTTTTCGACAAAAAAGGAAAATACTGTCCTTTACTTTTACTATTTCTTCAAGCCGCAAAGTGGGGTCGCATTTGTCTTCTTGTGACGTCACTAGAAGGCGAATGAGACCCCCTCCCCGGGTCTCGCAAATCTCTGCTCTGGAGGTGCGCTGGATTTGGAAGAGCGCCGGAGCACCAAAGTGGGTAAACGGGAGGGCTCCGGAGCACGAGTAACAAACTCCCGCTGGGCAGAGCTTGCGACCTTTTCACTTTCGCTCCGGAGGCATCTCTTCGATTGTCTGAGTGTCCATCGGTAGCACGAATCTGAGATGTTGTTGAGCACTGCACAAAATTTGCCAGATTTACATGTACACAGAACATTTTCGCCATTTGCTATTGCAGGCGATTGCGACGTCAGCGGTGTCTGCGGCTAACTGTCAGCTGATGCCGAATGGAAACCGAGCCGTCAGTTTACCTTGCTGATTAATCGCCTTGTGTGGTAACACAGTTCTCTTACAGCTTTACAACGTTCAGTTATACGCCAGACCTTGGGAAAATTATGAGCAATTCACTGTCACAAAAATCCGGGATGTTGCTCCTGGTGAACAAATTTGAAGGAAAATCGTTCTTTTCAGCTGTATGAACCGAAATGCAATAAATTCTTGGCGACCTTCAGACAACTGGATAAGCTAAGAGCAGAAAAATCAAACATTTGCTTTTTTGTCTAAAGAATTCGCAAAGATTGGGTGTCAAAACCATGATAAGAATCGTTTTTAGATGGGCGAAAGGGGGGAGGGGAATGAGAATGAATGGTGAATTAAAGGTTGTTGTACATAATCTTAAATCCATTACGTACCGTCAACATCCTCATTTCCTCCGTGCTTTCGCAGGCGTTTCTCAAAAAACCACTTCTCGCATGATAGTGAATATGTGAATCCATAGCGCACACATAATGTTATAAATCGATTTTAGATATCTATGGGTAAGGCTTAGGAGGAGCGAACAAGCTTATTTGTGTGAGAATTGATCGAAGGGTGTAGTAAGCTTCGTTTTGAAAACTTTCCACTACTCCAAAAAAGGAAATGGACTTATTTGGTTCTCGTGCGAACCCGCGGAAAGCAATTTCAACGGCAGATAGAGATGGGCAACTCGCTGGAAAACTCCAACAATTTGCGTCTCCAACACCATGAAGAATAAGAAGACGCTTACAGACTACGGCAGAATAGGAAGATGCTGACCAAAAATCTGGAAGCGAAGAGTGCATCAAGCAGTGTCAAAAGAAAAAAAGCTTCATCTTATAAAATATACTTGGTCCAAATTGAAGACAATATCGATCATAAATAAAATATTCGAGTTTGTTTGCGAAATCCGATACTCGGATATTTCCGTTTCGAATAGAATTCGAACGATTAATCAAAAACCGTGTTTTGAATAAAACCCTCTGAGTCCGATACTCAAAGGCACCGTCCGCCCTAAGTTGAAATTGTTGAGCTTTCGGCAGCATATAATAGTAGGGCCCCCTATCAATCCAATGCTCAAGTCGCGGCGCAAAATACCGCCGAAAAGTCGACTAATCAAAAAAAGTTATATTAGCAACTTTTAGATATGGCTGTTCTTAACATCCGAATAAAACAATTAAATATTCAAATATCCGAATGATCCGTCAATCCAAATGTCTAGCCATTGTAATAATCATACAACTATTTATTTGAAACTAAGCTGCCTTACCCGGGTCCGCCCGGCCTTGTCAAAACACTATGATAAACTCAGACAATCACAGGCTCTCAGCCGGCAGCCATAAAGCCACCGCGAAAACCCACCAAAAGCGCGGTGGCTTTGTGGCTGCCGGCTGAGAGCCTGTGATTGTCTGAGAGGGTCCCATCCTTATTCCTGTAAAACGTCTTACTGTGCTCATTTCTACAATTACAGTTGCTGCGTGTTAATAATCGGCATGCTCACTTACCAACACCCCCATAGCTCAAACTTTGCAAGAAAATAGATAAAATTGATATCGATATCGTTATCGATAATCAAGAATGAAAAGCGGTCTGCGACACCCGCTTTGCACCTAAGTGTACGCTTGCGAACTTTGGTCGGGATCGAATCAGAAATAGAGATTTCCGTCCAGAACATACTCAGACAACTGCTGCAAAAGCTCGATCGCCAACTAAGCTTTACTGCTAAATGTACGTCGTCATATTGAAATGCGTTTTTCACTTAAAATTAGAATGCGTAAGCAGTTATTGGGTTATTCCAAGTTCACTCAACAATCTTTTGATTTAGTCAAGTCGAAAGAATAATGGACAATCCAACATTATACAACTTTTAACTGTTAATCAAGCCAAGAAGAAAGATCTGCGTCGGAAGACGTGTTTTCTTTCTCTTCGCGTTCCTGATCAAGTATTTCTTTCACTGCTTTTGCAATGCGTTGTAGATCGCTCGTTGAGCCGGACGGTGGCGGAGCTTTCGGTCGCATCGGGGGCGTATATCTAAAATTTTGACATTAGTAAGTGCATTAATCACTTACTTCCTTTTAAGGTGCAAGTTTGTGGACTCCACAAACAGCAAAGCACGCTGAATTTCTTCGGCCTTGCATCTCTCATCGGTTTGCCCAGTTTCTCTTTGTCGATTGAAAATTCGTCTTCGATGAGCCTGCACTTGGAAACTCAACCATTCTGAACTTCACTCGCTCCATCGCGAAAGTTACTTCAAGGTGACTCCTAGCCCGCCTTATATACCTATCGAAGGCGTGGCCTGGGGCGGCGGCTTTGAATGGCCATCTTGATTCCTCAATCGTACGTTTTGGGATCTAAGCAAACTTCGTTGTATCCTTGCCCGCTTTTGCTGATTTCATCTACTTCTAATTAATTTTTGATCGATTTTCCCTATAACTGACAAGGAAAGTCGGATTAATCGAAGTGGCCTTTCCAAATGGGTCAGATACTATTTTGAAGAGCGTTAGACGCTGATTCCGAATCTGTCTTCGTTGTCTGCCGAGCGCATCTGGACGCCGAGTTATGAGCGTTCTTTGGGTTGAAAAATTGAATGCTTAATTATAGCAAAATTCGTCAGAATTGCTTGAATGGTCCAATGTTGGTTATCAGAGCACTCCATTTCAAAGGATATTTTCTGTTTAAAACACTCATACTACATGTTGCTCTATTGAGGCGCTGAAAAGTCCGCAATAGTTAATTTTACTTGAATCCTGCGTTCATTTTTCGCTCCAAAAAACATTTATAACTCGGCATGCAGAGACGCTCGGCAGATAATCAAATCAGATTTGAAATCAGCGTTTAACGCTCTTCAAAATAGTATATGACTCATTCGGAAAGGCCACTTCGACTAATTGGACTTCCCTTGTGAGTGAAGTTTTGAAGAGGATTAGAAGTTCGCGCTGAGACCCGGTTTCTGAGATCTTCAATAATCGAATCTCGAATATTTTCAGGAAAAACGTCGATTACGCGAACATCGAATATTTTCAAGATAAGAAAGTTTAGAGTAATCGCGCATATCGAGAAAAACTTTGAATAAACGAGTACTTTGCATCGATTATGTCGAATATTAAAACAAATTTTGATCGAATTAACACAATGAGGGACTCCAGAGCGAATAACTTATACAACAAACGATTTTTGCTGGCATAGCAATCAAAAATGTGGCACTGTAATGTAGTTATTCGATTACATAAAAATGTCGAATAATCGAGTAACTGTTGAAATTGGAATTCAAATATTTGAATATATTAAAATCAAAAATTTCTAATAACCAATTAATCGAATAAATTCGATGTTCACAAATTTCGAATAAGCGAATATCGAATTTTTAGATTTTGAATTTTTCGAATAATCGAATTTCGAATAAGTTTCATTTGAATACTTTAGTCGAATACTCGAATATTTTTTCAATTCGGTCCAAAAGATGCTATGTAAGGTGGCTGCGCCTCATTTGCTCGCCTGCTCACTTTCGTCTTTATTGGTTTTTTTTATCTGTGATCTCAACATAGCATCATCGTCCCTTGAGCACACGCACTGAATGCATTTATTCGTTATGAACTAAGCGGTCGAGGGTTGCAGAGGAATTTGGGAAAGTTCAAGCGCAGTGTGCTGAGGCCGGGGACTTGATCCCCGGCCTCAGCACCTCCACGATCTACGTCACGCGCCAAAAATCGACTATTTTAGCGGCGCCGAAGCGGACACGCAGTGAAGTCGAAGTTTTTTGCATATCTCTGAATCTTTATTTTGTCCACATATCTCTGATTTTTTTATTTGCTCGCATTCCTTATTTGTCCGTGTATCTCTGTTTCTTTATTTTGTTCACACATCCCTGTTTCTTTATTTGCTCGCATGCCTTATTTGTTCGTATGCCTCTGACAACCATGTAGATTATCCTATTCTCAATGTAGTTCATTCGTTGTTGTCAGGTCATAATGTCTTGGTACTCAAATGATACGGTTCAGTTCGCACTTATTATACTCACTTGCTTACCCGTTGCCATGTTGTGTGTTCAATTTGTTAAAAATAAAGGGTTTAATTGCCCAGGTTTGAGGTGTTGACGTGTGCCGACGGTTCCTCCTCATGCTACCTCCGTGTTATTCTGGTATTCTCTATACTATATCCCTATTTCGGGGACCCGCGTGGCAGATCAACGTTTAAGGCAGCACGAACGAAGCCAGGCCGGCAATATAGAAAGGTGGGAATCAAACTAACCCTCCTATTTCTTTGTCGTTTTTTTGTATTTTTGAATTGTCTGCCTTGGAGTCTGGGGACCCCCTTTTTTCCTTACATTTTCCCTGGGGCCCCGGCTCACGCAGAACGCGCAATAATGAGAGCGACCCTTTTAGAATTGTTGATAAAGTAAAATTATTGGGAGCGGAGCGGGGTTCACCGTTTACTTCGGCTCTAGGCCACTCGCGAAAGGTCTGTGGGCGAGGCCTCATGAAGTTCATGATTAGAGTTCAGCTTAACAGGGTCATTGGTAGCATGGGACGATGCGACTACCCCGTGTCTCTTCTTTTACTCAGTAGTTTTACGGCATTAGTGCAGTGTGGGTTTACGTTGTTGAGATAAAATGTAATCAAGTGGGCTCCTTTTCTTTATTAACGTTCACGCGCTATCATGCCATTGTGCGAGTAGAGAATAGTCCACGGGCAGCGCCCGATAAGGTAGCTAACATTACCGGATGGCAACATCATGTAGGGGACAGTAGGGATTTTTGGTGTAGCTGTGGCGCACTTGCGAATGGTGTTGATCTTACCTAGCCGCCTCAAGTTGCGCTGCCATTGGGCATTTCATAAATAAAACTCCCTCATCACTTTCCAGGTAAAGACACGTGCGCCACGGTTTGCCTGAGCACCGCCTTTAAGTTGAAGGCCCACGGTCACTAAGCATTATCCGTTGTCAGCTACCTGTGCTTTCGAGTAAGCGTAAGGTGTCTGCGTCGCCCGTCTCGGGTGGTTTGTGATTTCAGTTGTAGACACAAGGATTGTCCTTTGATCATTCACAAAAGACGGGTTATGTTCGCATTGAAATCCATGGAACTAATGCCTTCCAATGCAACATATGTCTGCTTAGGTTTCTTAATGCTTTCAGTAGAGTTTTCATGCACTAAGTGATTCAAAAGTAGGAGCATTTAGGTAATAAATGCAGTTTTCTTAAACAGAAAACCCAAGTGGAAGT